TTGCTTTCAAGTAACTATTTATTTATCAGTATTGTAGCCAATTCTTTAAAGTTTAAGTTTTTCATTGTTGAGGAAAAGAGAGTAATACCAAAATTTTGTTTAATAATATCATTAACTATAAATGCCAGTAGGTCATATAAATCAGTGCTTTTAAATATAATATTTTGAGATAAAAGTATTCCATTGCTATACATATTATAAGAAAAGCACTATCAGTACCACTCTTAGATTCAGGCAAGAGAGCCTCTGAACTTTAGAAAACTTGTTCTGGTCTTCTTCAATCTACACTCACTTCTATGAGACAAGAGATAGGCCATGCAGAACCCATAGACTTCTTTCCCTTCAGAACCCCAGACTTCCCAATGTCAGGGCCCAGGCAGCCTCCTTCCTGGGTTCATCTTCTAGAGGGTGGGGCATGCTGTCTCTGTGCACTCCGCTAAATCCTGTCATTAGTGGCAGATGTGGATAGAACTTTGATGTATAGGCTGAACTGTCCACACATGCTCGCAAGGTCCCTCAAGATCAGGGTTGGGAAGAGAAGGGAAGCCCAATGCCATTACAAGCTGGGGAACTCCAAAAAGCCTGGCTACTAGGTCTTAATGAAGGGAAGAAGATAGAAAATATTTAGCAGTTTGTTACCTTAATGTATACCTGATAAATATAGAAACACATATGGCTTGAGGCCCCTATTTGTACTGTTGCCTGAGGACCTGCAAAGTGGGTGGCCTGAGAGATATAAGACCCACTGCAAAATAAATAAAACCTTTGGCATAAGTTGGTCTTTAGTTTCAACCTGAGTAACTGAAAACTCTGAGATTAAAAGCCTGAGGCTTTCTAGCCACAAATTCAAAACTGAGCCCAACATATAAAAATCCAATTCTCCTGTGTTAAATCCAATTCTCCTGTGTTAAAAATGTAAGCATCTTAATATCCCCTAAGGCTTTTAAAATCATATTTGGAAAATCTCCATCTACTTCAAATTTTCATAATAAAGGCAGGTTTTACTGCCAGTCACTTGTTCCAGTCAGCCCAAGTATTTTCATGCCAGTATTGAAGCCACTTTCCTGAATCTTAGTGCAATTGCTCATTGTCTTTCTATTAGATTACTAAGAAACTGTCTATTGAGTTTAAGCACTTAAGGGTAAGTCAAATGGCAAGCTTCTTGGAAAGCAAACACATCAAGTAATGTTTCTCACAGGTATCTAGCAGCCTCCCTCCCTGATTCAATTCAGTACAATGCAACCAACATCTATTGAGCCCTTAAGTGCAGAGCACTGGGCAGAGATCTAGAGGGACAGCCAGAGGAGCAGAGATACCCAATTTTCGGATGCTTGCAGTCTGGAGGGACAGGAAAAGACCAACAGAACAACCCAAAATCAAAGTCAAATATAATAAGGATGAAAATAGAAGATTAACATAAAGTTGGTGGTAGGTAGAGAAGGAAAGAAACTAGATGTTTTTCAGAATTAATATATTCATTCCCCTTTATCTTGGAAAAATGACATGGAATAGATGCAATTTGAACTAGGTAGACTTTGAAAGATTAATAGGATGAAAATGGGTAGAAAATAATAATAACTAACATTTCTTGAGTTCTTACTAATTGCCAGTAACTGTTATTACATGGGTTATCTTAGTCCTCTTAGCCCAGCAACCTTGTGAGATAGGTAGATATCATCCACCCTGTTGTCCCAGATTTCAGATGAAAATAATAAACAATATAGAGACAACACACACTAATCATTTTGTCCGCATGAGACATAGGGAGGTCAAATAGCTTGCCTAGCATCATATGGACAGTAAGGTAGAGCTGGAATATAAGCATATGAACGGAAGCAGTCTGACTCTAGAATTTGTGCTTTAAACCACAACACTGGAGAGAGTATCTTATGTATAGAATGTCTTATGCGTAGAATATCTTTCCTTCTCCAGCATTACTGGATATGAAGTAACATGGTAGATTGGAGTGAAACCACTGAGTAAAGTATAAGCATATGTTAGCCTTGACAAGTCTTGTCAAATATTTTTTCAAAGTGATTAGACCAATTTGTTTCATAGAGTTCCAGTTGCTTCACATTCTTGACAACACTTGATGTTATCTGTTATTTTCTTTTATAAATTCCAGCCATTTTTGGTGGGCATGTACATACTGTAGACTATGGATTTCATTTATCTACTAATTAATTATAATTCTTTCAAAATTGAAATATTGGCATAATAAAATCCCAGTGAAAACCCAAGCACATCATACATATATAAATATGTATATAAATTGATAAGCTAATGTTAAATTTATATAAAAATGCAAAGGGCTTAGGATATACTAGATAATGCTTAAGAAGAAGAAGAAAGAGCTTACTCTACCAGATATGAACACTTAAAGCCACAGTAATGAAGACTGTGTGATATTAGTGCAAGGGTAGACAGAGGGAACAACAGCATGGCAGAGAGTCCAGAATCAGAGCAGAACATACAGGGTCACTTAATTTGAACTGTCTTCACTCCAATACAAAGGAGAAAGAATGGTATTTTAAATGAATTGTGCTAAGTCTGTTATATATTCATGTGGAACAAAAGGATCTTTGAATGCTACCTCATGCCATATAAAAAACTAAGATTGTAACTCTTAACAGGAAAGCTAAAACAAACTTTTAGAAGAAAGCATAGGTGAATATTTTGTAACCTTAGGATAAACAAAGATTTCCTAAATAGGAAATAAAAAATACAAACCATGAAAAGTTTAATAAATTGGACTTAATTAAATTGAAAATCTATGTTCATTAAAAGATTCCATTATGAGGGTGAAAAGACAACCACACATTAGAAGAGATTACAATACATATATCCAATAAAAGACATATACAGAATAAAGAACTAATACAAATTAGTAAGAAAGCCAACCCAATATAAAATTAACAAATGACTTATGCACTGTATGAAAGATCATCAAAATTAGCAAAAATCATTTCAAATGATACTAATAGAATTTTCAAGTATACGTTGAAATTTACTTCGTTGTTTATAAACTAATCCAGAATTTGAGACTCCAAAGCAGATAGCTACAGAATATGTTTATTTTATGGAAGAGAGACAACCTAATGGATAAGGATCTTCCAGTACATCTCTAATCCAGCCAGGATTGCTGAGCACTGCTGGGGTTTGTATGGAGGATTAGAGCTGCATCATCTCCCCATTGGTATTCACAGTCTTCATTGCCCAGGATTTCCACTTAACACAGAGTCTTCACTGGCTTCACTTTGGCAAATGGAAATATACTCACAAAAATTTGGAAAACCCTTCATGAAGTGATGCCTACTGTTTGGTTGTAGGAATGGAGGTAGTGATTATGTATCTCTCTGTGATCAACCAGATGCACCTATGGGACATTCACTCCATAAAAAGCTAGGGAAGTGTAAAATGGGTAGATTATAATGAAGAGCAACTCATTTTGGTTAACCCTACTACATCAAGGAGTGGGGACCATATCAACTTTTGAATCCACCTTTGGTCAAATAAAACGTTTAGATCTTTACTTTGATGAAATAGTTGGGAAATTTTACTTCAACATCGAATTTTATTTTTTAAAGTAAAATAATTTAAGCACATGAATAGTCCATTCACCCTGTGATAGAAAGAAGATGAGTTTCAGAGATACTTACTAATTAGGCCAAAGTTATACATGTAACAGGGCATAATTAAGAAAGAATTAGGTTTCCCATATCCTTGTCTAGTAGCCTTTCACTTTCAAGGAGGAGCATTTTCAGAGATTCCTTACAGAAGACCCTCACCACTACTCCATATGGATAAACTTGAATGCTCAATAAATTTCTATTATATTGAAATATGGCAAAAAGCAGGCTGTCTTCAAGTTCTTTCTGTATTTCGGGTGTGTGTATATGAATCTTTTAGACTATAAAAAGAAGAGGTGGGGATTTATTAGTGTCTCAATTGCTTTCTAATCTTTGGAAATCAATATTTTACATTGAAAACCAAAACGTAATATGATGTAAAACAAGCAAATATTAAAAATTTTGAAATGCTTTTTAGGAGCTAGCCTAGTACAGAGAATTCTTTTTTTTTTTCCTCATTGGGGATTAACTTTTCCAGACATGTGTAGTCCTCTTACAGATATCTATATTTTAGACCAACATTTTTATCAAGTCAATATAAATGCAAATGTATACACATTTTGCTTTAAAGGAGGAAATCTCTAAATTTGGTTTGTTCACCATGTTTGATACTCTCAAGTAAAATTCTCAAACTTTTAAATATATGGATTTAAGAGAATTGCCATTAGATAAAAAGATCTGTTAATATCCAAAATAGTTTTTAATATTTAGGGAGAACATGCTATTTAAGTAGACTGTTAGGTATGAATGAACATCACAGCTGGAAATTCAGAGGCCCTTCTTTATCAGTGCACCTCCTTGTCTCTTTGAAATAGATAAGGATTTTGGCAGTGCCACAGCCTCAGATTTTCTAATGTCAAACAAAACAAACATCTATTGCTTAATCAACCATGTTCAGTTCAACCTTGTCTTACTGAGAGGATTAAATTTCAAGGAGCTTGACATTTATCTATGGCATTAGCTGTATTCCCTTCCGTTGTTCCTCGTTGCCAGATGTCACTTTCCCAGGGATCTTGCTGATCAGTTCTTACTGCTGTCACACAGAAGGAAGAGTTCAGATAGTTTATGGGAGATTACAAAACTGACAGCTAAAGTGGTCAGAGACAACAGAAAAATGCACAAGAAATGGAGAAATGCCTATATATATGATATAAATGCATTATATAAATATATATATATATATAATTTCCTTCCTACTCTTCATTCTAGTTTTTAAAAATAGAAATTCAAATTATAGCACATTCCAGGATTAGAGTGGTATTAGAAAAAATAGTTTTGTTCTTTCAAAATATTTAATATCTAACTAAAGTAAAATGTGTTCCTCTGTCATAGTACATGATATACTCAAATTACAAATGGGCTGTATTTCAAAAATCAATTTGTAAGTTGGGCGGTTAACACTCATTTTGTTGTAGCCACATTTCTCATAGGTTTTATCTGCAATTCAGGAAAAATATTCTAAGTATTTGCATAGTGTATAGACTCTCATACCACCTTAAGGAAGCCTTATCCTAGAATTCTGGTACCCGAAAACTGCATTCTCTCTTTGCAGGCCTAACTGTGACATTGGTCCTGCCTGGTTTTTTCTCCTGTCTCTTGAGTATATCTTTTTATTTTTTTGAGATGGAGTTTCGCTCTTGTTGCCCAGGCTGGATGGAGTGCAGTGGTGCAATCTCGGCTCACGGCAACCTCCGCCTTTCAGGTTCAAGCAATTATCCTATCTCAGCCTCCCAAGTAGCTGGGATTACAGGCATGCACCACCATGCCTGGCTAATTTTTTGTACTTTTAGTAGATACGGGGTTTCTCCATGTTGGTCAGCTGGTCTCGAACTCCCAACTTCAGGTCATCCGCCTGCCTCGGCCTTCCAAAGTACTGGGATTACAGGCATGAGCCATTGAGTGTATCTTTTCTGACTCATCTGTAGGCTTCTTCTCCTCTGCTCAGCACTGAATATGGAATTCTTCCATACTTGATCTTAAACCACCTTCTCTTTTTTCTTTATGCCGCTTGCCTGTTCAACCTCATCCATATCTATGCATCAAATGATAGCTTCAAATTTAAATCTTCCCTCCTGAACCTCTCCACAGCATCCACTCAGTATCCCTACTTAGATTTCTCAAAGTCATCCCAGACCTAGCATGTCCAAAATATATCTTCTACTCCAAATTTGGATTTTGTCTATGCTCTCCAACTTGAAGAATGGTTCCTCTACCATATGTCCAAGTGGGCAAGTCAGAAATCATGGGGTCATACTTGACACCAATCCCTCCCTCATCCTTCCTTCCTCATATCCTGTTTCCTGCCAAGCCCTGTTGGTTTACCTACTAATCCCCCCACTTATCTCCAACATGTTCTGAATATGCCATGCTGTTTCTTGGCATGGAGTCTTTGCCCATGCTGTTTGTTAAAACAAGAATCTCTTCGTTGAACTTCTCATTTTTAATAAAAAAGGAAGTAATCCATTGTAGTTACTGATTTTCAATTCTTTCTGGCCTGGATGGAGATGAGTTGAAAGTAAACATTTGTTAACTTCCTGGATGAAAGCAATTTCTAGCAATAACCATGATTAATGGTTATATTACAAAGGCACTAATCTTGATGTCCGTAGGTCTCAAAGAGAACTTCTTATAAAAATAATCTAGGGACTAGATTATTATAAAGATATAATTTAAAAATTATAGATATTATAAAAATTTAGATACAAAAAATTGTAAGGATGATTTTTTAGCTACAAAATATGTAAAGGATTATTATAAGATACAGAATTGATGACACAAGGATCATTGGTCAGAATCCTGTACCCACACTCACCTGGATCTGTAGCCTCTTATGGGAGTGTTCACACCAACAACTGCATTTCTAGAATGTTTTCAGACATAATTCTGTTAGCAATGTCTAAATAAGATAATGTAGAAAATTACAGACTTTAGAGTTCAAGAGGTTACAACTTCCTGCCTCTTCATTTTTTTTCTGCTTCCCACCCCCCATCTCTGCTGAGAAATCTCCTACTCATTCTTCAGAGCTCAGCTTTAGTGTCAATTTCTCAAGAGTCTTTCTTGACTCTTAACCCTACATTAGGCTCCTTTGTAGAAGAGTGCCAGGGAACCTCATTCCTTTCCTTCTTGTGAGTTGTCTCAGTTTGTAATTGTACATTTATTGGTGGAGATTTTTTTTTCTAACATCTTCCCACTAAAGTTTAAGCCCTCATGGAAGCAAGGATCATGTATTTTTTGTTGTTGTTGTTCACCATTGTAGCCTTAGAACCTAGCATGGCACAGTGTAAATACTCAATAGAAGTTCGTTGAATGCTCTTGAATGAGTGAACTTAAACCAGCATAGAAACACTGCAGCAGGTATTATGGTTTTTTTTTTTAGTACACTTAATTCAGAATATGACTTGGTTTCTGGTACACAACTTCCTAACCCCAATCTTCCACTAACTTGAAGAATTGCCCTTCCTCTCCTGATGTGGGTGTGCTTCTCCTAACTGTAGGCCATTCTGAAATCTTAGTTGCTGGTACTATTCTGGTGGTCTAAGCCAAGGACTCACTCAAAGAAGATGAGAGTGAGGAATCTGTAAGAACAGAATGTAAACAGAGTACTGAACAAAAATAGGGATATAATTCTTAGCTGTCATCACCTGTAGTCCTCACCAAGATTCTCCTCTCTAGTATAGAAAAAAAATTCAGTTTTGCAGCTCCTCTCTTTCTCCCACATAATCAGCAGATGCATCTATAACCTTCCTCACCTTCCCTTGGATTTCAGGATTTGTAGGGAGAGCAGAGAGAGAGAAAGAGCAAGAGAAAGAGAGAGAGAGTGTGTGTGTGTGTGTTTGTGTGTGTGTGTGTGTGTGTGTGTGTGTGTGTGTGTGTGCGCGCGCGCGCGCGCTAGGGATTGGGTGAATGTTGAGGACTGGAATATGGAAAATGTTACCAAGGTATAAAAAGGAAGTGGGAAACATAAGGGAGCAAGAAAGTAGAAGCCATTTACCTTCTTTTACTTTCTCATTCGTGATGTCATCAGTCCACTCAATGGACTTTGGTAAACATTCTGAAGTTGTGTACAAGGGTTGTAGTTCAGTCCACTATCAGTATGTGTTGGGGTGGTGAGGCACTGCCTAGGTCTCTCTCCTATGTATCCTGAGAGAGTACACGTACTTTTCTGCAATGTAAATTAATCCTGAAAGCAAAGCTAGCACCCATTGTAGTACTGTTTTGTATCATGTACTTATTCCATAAAAATATTCCCATGACCCTTTTTCTCTCAAAGTTCAGTTCTTTACTGATTATTTTTACCTCTCCTACTTGGCCTAATAAGTTGTAAGTAGTTTTTTATTGACTTAAGAAATATCTTTATCAGGCAGAAAGAGAAGCTGAGTCTGTAAATTAATTACAATCACTTTAACGTAGTGGTGGCAAACCTACCTCTTTGTTAATTATTTCAGCAAATATATTTTAAGCATTTTCTCTGTGTCAGACAGTGCTATAGGTACTAGCTGTACAGTGGTGAGCACTTCAGGCAATGTTCTTAACTTTTGCAATATAGAGAGCTCTCCTTGAAAAGCTTAAAAGTCACAGAACTAGAAGAGACCTTAGAGATAATTAAAGCTGACTTCATTATTGGGAAAACAATGGCTCAGCGAGGGAATGTGTGCTACCCAGGTTGGCAGAACTGAAGCTAGAACAAGAACACAGATCATTTTGCTCGTCTTCCCCTTGCAGCTCGTCACTTCTGCACTACATCTGGCTCGGTTTTAAGCTGCCGGCCCTGTTCAAATCATAGTCATGTCTCTTGGTGCATGCTCCAGCCCTGCGTAAAAGGTTTAGCAATTTGTCAGTGGGATTAGGCTAAATGGTATTATTTTTAAGGCAAGACCAGAAAGGAGATGTATTCTCTTAGCTGAGAAGCATATTGAGCAACTCACAGGGAAAGTATTTCCATAGGACAGAAATAGTGAGTGTTTATATAACCACATCATTTTGACCCAAGCTCTTAATCGTTCAGTGTGGCAAAGCTTAAGACAGGAGAGGAAGAAGGTGGGGGAGGCAGACGGATTAAGGGCTGACATCATAGATCTGTTCTTAGAATGAGAAGCTGTTGATAGGACTCTGGTAGGAGCCAGATAACCTGTCCTGGTGTGAGCTTAATCAAGTACAGTAAAGGCTGTGTAACACACTACTTTGCAACTAAAAAAAATCTAGGAAAACTCTGGTAAAAAGAATTTCTAATACTCAGAATTGTAACTTTTTAAGTAATGTTGCTTTGACTGTATAATAATCTGTAAAAAAATTATTTGCTTTCTCTAAACAGAACTGATATATTCTATTTCCCTAACCTGAACTGGGAACTCATACCATGAAATGATTTCAGGTGATATGTGGACCAATATTATAAACATACATAGATATACATATGTACACACACATTAATCACATCAAACTCATTACTCCACAAATGTTATTCACTAATATTAAAGTAAAAGTTAAATGAATTTAAAGGAAAATAGTTGGAGCTTTTCTTGTAAACTGCTTAAAATTATTTTTACTAATAAGCATGTATAAATTATTTAACAAAATCTGAATAGATTTAAGTTATTGATATCATTTTTAAAAACTTGAACTATGCTTTTAAAACATCCTGATTTTTCAAGAGGCTTTCCCAATAAAAAGAGAATACTCTATCATGTGTAATCCCTACAGCTCCTTTTCTATTTATTTCCTCCATTAAACTTACTTACTCTTTGTGCTTACATCTAATACAAATAGTAATTCAGCAATTTTGGACATGGTTTTAAACCAGAGGCAGGAAAACATTTTCTGTCAAAAGCAGAAAAATAATTAATGAAAGGTTATAAAAAGAAGACCCCCAAAACCACCTGTCATTCAATTTGGTTTTATTTTTAATTCTTAATTTATTTCATCTTCTTTTATAATTAAAAATAGAAAACACAAATCTTTATTCAATAATTACTAAAGCTGAACAGACAGGAGAGAAAGGAGTAGAAAAGGCAAATGAAGAGGGAGGGATAGTACAAGAATCAGGAAAATGGAGAAATGTGAGAAGACCAACAATGATGAAAGAGAGAAGTATACATAAAACAATATGCAGAGAAAAGAGAGAAAGAGAGGTTTTGATAGAATAACATGGAATTTAATTCATTATGAGGTACTACAGTCCCAGTTAGACAATTAAAGATGTATTACATTTTTACAACAATAGGCATAAATGGGAAGATAATCTTTTGAAAGTTTTCCATAAACCTGACCAGGTACAGATATGGGAAATATCTGGCTTATATCATAATGTGTTGAGTCTGTTTATCTCCACATCTATTCAACATTATTTGATTATAAGTAAAATGAGGCTGATTTGTGTAATTCTTTTTTCTCTATAGCAATTTTCAAAGGCCACAGATAAATTAGCTCTAAATGAGCCACGCTATTGTAATTATTTTGACATAGGACTTATAAAACTTAGCTGAAAAGGTTTCATACTGTCATATTTATATTTGGTACCATTTGTGATTCTAGCAAGTTGAATAAACTTCTAAATGAGGATGCCTGTCAAGGAGTTAACATTTATGTGGCCTCCCTTCCAACAAAAACACATTGAAATATTACATTTTAGGCAGCAATACATTTGGCATGTAAGGAGACATATTTATAACAAATCCCATTACCTCTGCCTTTACCTACATATGTGCCAAGAACAAAGTCAAAAATTCTGTATCAATTTAGGCAGTTATATTCATCTTGAAGTTTATATACTTCTAAACATTTTTTGATCTTGACATAAAATTTCAATGCATTTACTTTTAATATTCCAAAGGAGTTTCCAGCATGGCAATTGGGTGCTACTCAAAACTGAATATATTTGTTGGTAAACCAGTATGTCTTTGTGTACCTATAGTATGTAATAATGACTCGGGGGAAACCACTCTTCCATTCAGAGTTCTAGATTCCAAGATTCAAAACTTTTCCTAGGAATTTGTCCTATACATACTGACTCAATAAATCTAGAATATATTTATGAAATTTGTGCTTAGATACATTACCATCTTGTTTTTAAAAATACTTCTGCATATAAGATTTTGCTGTGCATACAAAACTGTCTTCTCTACATTGATTCCTTGAAAAGGCTTGCCTGCTTTCCAAAACTGATTTTAAAGTCTATTGTAGCTCCTGATCTGATAAAGTTCTTATTTAGCTTTGCTAGAAACAAAAATGATGGAACTGTTTTCTTCTTCTTTTTTTTTTTCTCTTTTCAGACAGAGTCTCACTCTATCACCCAGACTGGAGTACAGTAGCACAATCTTGGCTCACTGCAACCTCTGCTTCCCAAGTTCAAGAGATTCTCCTGCCTCAGCCTCCTGAGTAGCTAGAATTACAGATACATGCCACCACACCTAGATAATTTTTGTATTTTTAGTAGAGACAGGGTTTCACTGTGTTGGCCAGGCTGGTCTCAAACTCCTGACCTAAGGTGATCCACCCACCTTGGCCTCCCAAAGTGCTGGGATTACAGGCATGAGCCGCCGCACCTGGCCTGGAAATGTGTTCTTCTAAAGTTAAGGACAAATTCAGATAGTCACCTACAATTCTGGGTCATATTTTCTTTAGAAACCACATGCCCCAACTTTTTGTAACAAACAGCCCTAACTTCATTGTCATTAAAGAAATTATTACATGCCTAAACTGTAGGATATCTGCTCCTAGATGTTGCTATATCATGTAAACCCTTGATTATAAGACTTCAAACCTTTGACTGAAAAAAAAAAAAAAGCATCAGTGCTTCAGCTAGGCATCTGCATATTGCTATTTCATTATGATGTGACATTAAGGGTCAAACACAGGGGGAAATAATTGTAGGGCTTTCTTTTTCAAGTGTTGGATCTGCTCATCAGCAGAGTTGATTCATTCTTTGGGATGAAAGACTCTTGTGAAATGTGTTTTAGTTTGTTGGCTTAACATCACCTCCCTCCCTCTGATAACAACTGGAATTGACATAATTTTGTCTGCTTCTGGGATGGGCTACCTCTTCACTGCTTTTTCGGAGTGCCAGGGTTTCTGACAGGTGGATTTTCAGAATAATAAATTCTCAAGAGGAGATCATGTTTCACCTTCCCTACCTTGAGAATCTCAGCAACACTCAGAGCATGAGGAAAATTCTGTGTCAGCTGCAGCAGCAGCAGCAGCAGCCTGCTTTGTGAGGCCTGAGATCTAAAGTAGATTTAGTCTCACTGATTGAGAACTCCTAGGTTACAGGCTGCTATTTATCTTGCACAAGTATGAAGCTGCACTATTTTTGGAAGCTAACTTGACTCTTGGTAGTGGCATATTTTTCTGTTTGCATGTTATAGATCCTGGAACCAATGAGCTGGAAGGAACTAAGGAAGCTGGAAGGATCTAGGACAGATCCTGCAGAGTTCACGTGATGGTTCAGGTCACACAGTCAGGAATGACTGCACAGGAACTAGGACCCTGGACTCCTCATGCCCACTCCTGTCAGTTTGACTTAGTGGAATATTCTTGTGTTACAATGGTGCTCCTCTACAGGTCATGCAGCATAGCTTCCACTTAGCTTATCTCTGGCTGGAGAACTGCGCTTCTCCACCGGAGTCCTTGATGGTACCCATATATTAATCTTCTCAGGCTGCCATGACAAAATATCACAGGCTGAGTAGCCAAAACAACAGACACTTATTTTCTCACAGCTCTAAAGGCTGGAGATCCAAGATCAAGTTTCCAGCAGAATTGGCTTCCTGTTGTTCTTGGCTTGTAGCTGACCACTTTCCCACTGTGGCCTCACATGGCTTTGCCTCTGTGCATGGCACTGCTGGTATAGCTTCCTCTTCTTAGAAGGCCACCAGTCCTTTTGGATTAGGGCCTTACCCTCATGACCTTATTTAATCTTGATTGTCTCCCTAGACGGGAGTGATGTTGAGTATTTCACTGTCAGTAAATGAACTTTTGGGGGACACAATATGGTCGATAACAGGACCCAGCCACTCTGTAAAATCTGCAGAAAACTGAACTGAACTCTATGCTGGACAGCTGTATTTTGCATTATCTACCTGAAGCAATTTCAGATAAAGGCTATTCAGAGAACATTATTTATTGGGGTTTCCTAGATTGAAGTCAGAGTGCAATTTTATCTGGAGTCTGTGAAAAGCACTGGGCCAACAGCTAATACGTTTAAAGTAATTTTTGAATAGGTAATACATAAGTGTGATATGGAATTCAAAAGTACATACAGTAAAAGTATGTCTCCCTCTAATTCCTCTATCCTAATCTATGACTAGTGACTATTTTTATACCAGTAGTCTATTCATTGACAAGCAACCTGTATGGACTCTTTTATTTTCTTTCTATATAAATATAGTATACTTCTGGACTTTGCTTTTTTCACTTAATAAATTGAGATGTTATTCACTGTCAGTGCATATGTAGCTAATACCTTTATATATTTTACATTTTATGAAATCTGTGAAATATTTCATTGTGTGTATACCACAGTTTCCTAGCCAATCTGCTATTGATGGCATCTTAGATTATTATTTCTAGATTACAAATTATATTTTTCTTACATATACAAACTGGGCTTCAGTGATTATCTGTATAAATTGTTTCACATATGTGTATATACACATATTCACATACATCTGTAGTGTAAGTTCCCAAAAGTGGAATTGATGTGTCAAGAAGGATGTACCTTTGAAAAGAAATTACTATATTTTTCCTCACTGTGGTTTGTAGGAGACAATTTTTCAGTGGCTCTGAAATATGACAGAGTTTCCTGGAAGCAGAGAAACCACACAGATTTACTTCACACGATATGTATTGGCTCATGAATTTCTCACATTCTGGAATGTTCTCCTAGTTCCTTTCTGCCTCATTACTTCCAGCTCACATTCTTCTCTCCTGTGAAGTTTTTCCTGATGACTGCTTTTCTCACTTTTATACTTGGTCTGCACCACGCAATGAACATTTGCCACATGGTATTAGGAAACCTAGACTACAGGACTCTCCAGCACTTTGCTAAATAGTTTTGCTCTTTGAATATTTCCTGTACAAATTATTTCCCTAATGAGATCGTAAGCTAGAAACCAAAATTTTTTATCCTGTTTCTCTAATGTTAGCATATAATTTTTGTAATGTTTAACAGGATAAGAAAGCATATTTACATCTATATTTTATCCTCTCATCAACCCTTTAATGTAGCCAGAGCAATTATGATTCTAGCACAGAGATGAAGAAGCTGCAGTTTCTACTCTATCATGCCACCTCTTAACATGTAGTAGTGCTGACATTCAGTAAAGACTTGTAAAAGGGATTAATAAACAATATACAAGGAGCTTAAATGACTAAATAGGAAAAAAATCTAATAATCCAATTAAAATTGGGCCAAAAAATCTGAGTAGACATTTCTTAAAATGTCTTAGACATACAAATGGCAAACAGGTATATGATAAAATGCTCAACATCATTTATTATCAGAGAAATGCAAATCAAAACCACAATGAGATATCATCTTACCCTAGTTAAAATGGTTTCTATCCAAAAGACAAGCAATAACAAATGCTGATAAGGATGGGGAAAAAGAGAAGCCTCATATATTGTTGCTGGAAATGTAAATTAGTATAGCCATTATGGAGAACTGTATGGGGGTTCCTCAAAAAACTAAAAATAGAACTACCATATGATCCAGTAATTCAGCTGCTAGGTATATATCCAAAAGAAAGGAAATCAGTATATTGAAAAGGTATCAGCACTTCCATGTTTCTTACAGTACTGTTTACAGTAACTAAGATTTGGAAGCAACCTAAGTGTTCATCAACAAACAAATGGACAAAGAAAATGTGGTACATATACACAATGGAGTACTATTCAGCTATTAAAAATGATGATATCCTGTCATTTGCAACAACATGGATGGAACTGCAGAGCATTATATTAAGTGAAATAAGCCAGGCACAGAAAGACAAAATTCACATGCTCTCATTTGTGGAAGCTAAAAACAACTGGAAATGAGATAGGAGGTGGGACACAACTCCAGACAAGACTCAGACTGCAGACCAAATTGAGGATTAATTAAAACAGGGATGGGACAGAGGCAGCTTTCCATAAGACATGCTCACCATTGTGCCATGTCAGTTTACCATTCCCATGGCAACACCTAGAATTTACTGCTGCTTTCCATGGCAATGACCTGATGGCCCAGCAGTTACCACCCATTTCCTAGAAATTTCTTCATAATCTACCCCTTAATTTACATATAACTAAAAGTAGTTATAAATAAGACTACACCACTGCCTCTGAGCTGCTACTCTGGGCACACTGCCTATGGGGTAGCCCTGCCCTGCACTGAGCCATACCTCTGCTGCTGCCGTACATTGCCATTTCAACAAAAGTTGCTGTCTGACACTACTGGCTCACCCTTGAATTTTTTTCTGGGCAAAGCCAAGAACATTCCTGGACTGGGCTCCAATTTTGGGGTTCACCTGACCTGCATAATAAAGAATAGAATGATGGTTACCAGAGGCTGGAAAGAGTAGTAGGGATGGAGCAAGGATGGTTAATGGGTACAAAAAGTATAGTTAGATAGACTGAATAAGTTGTACAATGAGAACACATAGACGTAGGGAGGGAACATCACACACCAGGGCCTGTTGGGGGTTGGGGGCTAGGAGAAGCATAGCATTAGGACAAATACCTAATGTAGAGGAAGGGTTGATGGGTGCAGCAAACCACCATGGCACTTGTATACCTATTTAACAAACTTGCACATTCTGCACATGTACCTCAGAACTTTAAAGTATAATATAAAATTATAAAGGCAAAACAAAAAAAATGAGTAAGTTCTAGTATTTGATAGCACAACAGGGTTATTACAGTCAACAATAATTTATCGTACATTTAAAAATTACTAAAATAATATAATTGGAAGTTTGTAATGCAAAGAAATGTTAAATGCTGAAATTATAGATACCCCATTTACCCTGATGTGATTATTATTAAGCATTGTATGCTTGTATCAAAATACCTCATATACCCCATAAATATAGATACCTATTATAGTGTGTACCCATAAAAATTAAAAAGAAATACTTGTAGATTGAACATAAACTTCTATCCAGATGGTCCAGGGGAACACCAGAGGGGAAGCAACTTTGGGTAAAAAGTGCTTCCTGCCCTTTACTCTAGTGAGCCTAGCAAGCAAATCATTTCCTCCTTCAGTGCTGCCGCTGTTCAAGGAATATTGTAAAACCTTTTATCATTTTGTTATAGCTTAGAGTTCCTCATTCTCAGATCCTACTTTTGGTCTTGATGCCTTTTTTTTTTTTTAATTATGCTTTAAGTTCTGGGGTACATGTGCAGATCATGTAGGATTGTTGCATAGGTATACATATGCCATGGTGGTTTGCTACCTCCGTTCCCCTGTCATCTACATTAGATATTTCTACTAATGTTATCCCTCCCCAACACCTCCAACCCCTGTTATCCCTCCCCTAGCTCTCCCATCCCCCAATAGACTCCAGTGTGTAATGTTCCCCTCCCCTGTGTCCATGTGCTCTCATTGTTCAACACCCGCCTATGAATGAGAACATGCAGTGCTTGGTTTTCTGTTCTTGTATCAGTTTGCTGAGAATGATGGTTTCCAGGTTCATCCATGTTCCTGCAAAGGACACGAACTCATCCTTTTTATGGCTGCATAGTATTCCATGGTGTATATGTGCCACATTTTCCCCGTCCAGGCTATCATTGATGGGCATTTGGGTTCGCTCCAACTCTTTGCTATTGTAAACAGTGCCACAGTGAACATACGTGTGCATGTGTCTTTATAATAGAATGATTTATAATCCTTTGGGTGCATACCCAGTAATGGGATTGCTGGGTCAAATGGTATTTCTACTTCTAGATCCTTAAGGAATCACCACACTGTCTTCCACAATGGTTGAACTAATTTACATTTCAACCAACAGTGTAAAAGTGTTCCTATTTTTCCACACCCTCTTCAGTGTCTGTTGTCTCCAGATTTTTTATTGATCACCATTCTGACTGGCATGAGATGATATCTCAATGTGATTTTGATTTGCATTTCTCTAATGACGAGTGATGATGAGCATTTTTTCATATGTGTGTTGGCTGCATAAATGTCTTCTTTTGAATCAAAAGTGTCTGTTCATATGCTTTGCCCATGTTTTGATGGGGTTGTTTGTTTTTTTCTTGTAAATTTGTTTTAGTTCTCTGTAGATTCTGGGTATTAGCCATTTGACAGATCGGTAGATTGCAAAAATTTTTCCCATTCTGTTGGTTGCCAGTTCACTCTGATGATAGTTTCTTTTGCTGTGCAAAAGCCCTGAAGTTTAATTAGATCCCATTTGTCTATTTTGGCTTTTGTTGCCATTGCTTTCAGTGTTTTAGTCATGAAGTCCTTGCCTATGCCTATGTCCTGAATGGTATTGCCTAGGTTTTCTTCTAGGGTTTTTATGGTTTTAGGTCTTATGTTTAAATCTTTAATCCATCTGGAGTTAATTTTTGAATAAGATGTAAAGAATGGGTCCAGTTTCAGCTTTCTGTACATGGCTAGCCAGTTTTCCGAACACCATTTATTAAACAGGAAATCCTTTTCCCATTGCTTGTTTTTGTCAGGTTTGTCAAAGATCAGATGGTTGTAGATGTGTGGTGTTACTTCCAAGGACTCTGTTCTGTTCCATTGGTCTATATCTCTGTTTTGGTACTAGTACCATGCTATTTTGATTACCGTAGCCATGTAGTATAGTTTGAAGTCAGGTAGCATGATGCCTCCAGCTTTTTTTTTTTTTTTTTTTTTTTTTAGGATTGTCTTGGCTATGTGGACTCTATTTTGGTTCCATACAAAGTTTAAGGTGTTTTTTTCCAGTTCTGTGAAGAAAGTCAATGGTAGCTTGATGGGGATAGCATTGAATCTATAAATTACTTTGGACAGTATGGCCATTTTCACGATATTGATTCTTCCTAACCATGATCATGGAATGTTTTTCTATCTGTTTGTGTCCTCTCTTATTTCCTTGAGCAGTGGTTTGTAGTTCTCCTTGAAGAGGTCCTTCATGTCCCTTGTTAGTTGTATTCCTAGGTATTTTATTCTCTTTGTAGCAATTGTGAATGGGAGTTTGCTCTTGATTTAGCTCTCTGTTTGTCTGTTACTGGTATATAGGAATGCTTATGATTTTTGCACATCGATTTTGTATCCTGAGACTTTGCTGAAGTTGCTCATCAGCTTAAGGAAATTTTGGGCTGAGATGATGGGGTCTTCTAAATATACAATCATGTTGTCTGCAAATAGAGATAATTTGACTTTCTCTTTTCCTAAGTGAATATGCTTTATTTCTTTTTCTCGCCTGATTGCTCTGGCCAGAACTTCCCATACTATGTTGAATAGGAATCGTGAGAGAGGGCACCCTTGACTTGTGCCAGTTTTGAAAGGGAATGCTTCCAATTTTTGCCCATTCAGTATGATATTAGCTGTGGATTTGTCATAAACAGCTTTTATTATTTTGAGTTACTTTCCATTGATACCTAGTTTATTGAGAGTTTTTAGCTTAAAGAGCTGTTGAATTTTGTCGAAGGCCTTCTCTGCATCTATTGAGATAATCATGTGAATTTTTCCTTGATTCTGTTTATGTGATGGATTCTGTTTATAGATTTGCATATGTTGAACCAGCCTTGCATCCTCAGAATGAAGCTGACTTGATCCTGATGGATAAGCTTTTTGATGTGCTGTCCAATTCAGTTTGCCAGTATTTTATTGAAGATTTTCGCATCAATGTTCATCATGAATATTGGCCTGAAATTTTTGTTTTATTTATGTCTCTGCCAGGTTTTGGTATCAGGATGATATTGGTCTCATAAAATGAGTTAGGGAGAATTCCCTCTTTTTGTATTGTTTGGAATAGTATCAGAAGGAATGGTACCAGCTGCTCTTTGTATGTCTGGTAGAATTTGGCTGTGAACCCATCTGGTTCTGGACTTTTTTTGGTTGGTAAGCTGTTAATTGCTGCCTCAACTTCAGACCTTGTCTATCGTCTATTCAGGGATTCAACTTCTTCTTGTTTTAGTCTTGGGAGGGTGTAAGTGTCCAGGAATTTATCCATTTCTTCTAGATTTACTGGTTTATGTGCATAGAGGTGTTTGTAGTAATCTCTGGTGGTAGTTTGTATTTCTGTCAAATCAGTGGTAATACCCCTTTATCATTTTTTATTGCATCTATTCGATTCTTTTGTCTTTTTTTTTTATTTATTAGTCTGGATAGCAGTCTATTTTGTTGATCTTTTCAAAATACCAGCTCCTGGATTCATTGATTTTTTGAAGGTTTTTTTGTGTCTCTGTCTCCTTCAGTTGTGCTCTGATCTTAGTTATTTCTTGTCTTCTGCTAGGTTTTGAATTTGCTTGATCTTGCTCCTCTGGTTCTTTT